AGTAAGATATAGATTTTATTTTACCAATTAAAGATTATATTACTCATTCATTCCTTGTGTTTTACTGATGTATGAGAAAGTGAGAAGATAAGATCTTCAATACACAGAAACAACTTGGCTAAATGGACAACAGTAAGACAATAATTGTTTAATTATTTATTTTATTCATGATAAAACACGACTTTCATACATACCATTCTGCAGTCATTATCTTTCCTTTCAATCAGTTACTGAACAAATCTTCAGGCTCACACATTCTTCAAACAAGTGTACACAGTTCTATGTACATTATGAATGTCATTTTATAATCCAATCACAGAAGAGATTGGTAGAGAGCTTTGGTGGTGTATTGATGCATGACAAGCTAGATGTTGTGAGGGCTTTCAGGATCCATTGGAATTCTGCTGAAGATGGGGGACAGATCGTTTCTGGGAATGTCCCGAGTGCTGTGAAGTTGATTCTTATTAGTATTTGCCAGAGATCCTCAGACGTCTTAATCAGCAGTTTTTTTTTCTGGCTTTGTTCCATTCCAGTCCTCTGTCAGTTAGAGACTGTCGGATGTTGTCTTCCCAGCGCACCCTAGAGGTCTGGTTTCTTGGTCCTTAGCCTCCCGATTTTCTCCCATTCTGCATACATGTCCAAACCATCTTAACTGTGACTGATCCACTCAGGTTTGTCAGGACTGGGTATCCAGATCTTGATGTATTGTCTGATTGCAGACTTTGTCCCTTCTTGTCACTTGGACCACCTTTCTCAGTTATCTCATTTCTAAGGTCTGAAGCTGGCTTCTGTGAGCTGTTGACTCACACCCATAGGTCAGGACTGATACATAGGTTTAGCGATTGATTCTTGTTTAAAATATAGGTTGACAGCTGAACATCCGAGAAGAAGCATACTAAATAAATGTAATGGCGTCAATGGTGCTCATATGGCCTAACTGTGAAAGACTTTTCTTAATGCAACGTGCTGAGGAAGATCTGAGCACTATGATTATGACTGACAGATTCAATGTGCAATTGGGATTATCTGTCTACTAACATAATGTAAGCCCTTAACAAATGCATGTGATGTCATGCCACCAGTTTAACACTCATGGACACATATTCTTCTTTCTCTTACATTTTTAAACACAACTTAGTGTTTGAGAAGAAAAAGCCTACAATAACAAGTCTAAGAAGGCTAACCCAGGCAACAAATGCCAGTAGAAATCAGATGTGTTGGCCGAGAGGCAAAATATCTCAGCCATGTTGTAAAGGGGTAGAACGCATTAACAACTTCAGATAAAAACAAGAAGTAAAACGTTACTGCAAAACAGTGTAAAGCAAATTATCATATGCAAGCTGAAGATGTTTTATTATTTTATTTTATAAAATAAATAATGAAATGAGATATTCTGAAACTCAAACAAAATAAAGATGCTAGTTTGTAAAAAAAGAGAAATCTTTAAGGAAATTGTCGCCACAGTTTATTTGAAAACATTTGCTCTTAAAAAGTTGGTTGGCATGTTGTGGTGTACAGTTTCGCCCAACACATCCGGTTTCTGCAAACCCTTATTATTTGCCTTTTAATACATTCCTGTTTAAGGGCAGCTAGCTTGCAATGTTCTGTCACTTCTAAAAGTGGTTCTGATGTACTGCAGATCTGTTTGGTTGTCTCTTACGTATTTGTTAGTATTATATTCTAAATAAAGCGCACAAGCCTAAACCATCTAACGAAGGAATTTGGAAAGTCATTCTCTTCACTACTTAACCAACAATGTACACCTGAAGAGCTATCTTTTGATCTCTGGGACTCCGAATTATTGACACTCAATGTGTCAACATCCATCCCGAACCTGGGAAACAAAGATGCTGAGCCCGCTTTAGTGAAGAAAGCACTCACAATGGAACACCTCAACAACATGTTCCCACAGGACAGCTGGACGAGAATCTACACGGATGGATCAGCAAAAGAGGCAACTACGAATGGTGGGGCAGGTGTTTACATAAAACACCCAGATGCCACTACTGTGTCCCTAGCAGCCCCCACCGGACGAACTTGCTCTAACTACAAGGCAGAACTCTCAGCTCTATTGATGGCAGCACAGTATATGAACAATCTGCAAATCACAGCAGCAGGATAGTTTTTTCTCACTGACTCACTGTCAGCTATACAGGCCCTTGAGTCCAAACCTACCGACAGCACACTACAAAGTCTAACACAGGAACTTGCTATGTTGTCAATAAGGCAGAAATTCACTTTCAGTGGATTCCGTCTCACTGCGGCATCAAAGGCAATGAAAGCGCAGATGTTTTAGCCAAGGAAGGCAGTAACAAACTACAGACCTACCAGCCACTATCTTTTCCAGAAGTCAAAACTCTCATTAAGAGAAAATCAGAAACAGATTGGAAAAACAACACTGGTTATGACTACGGAAAAGATTTTCTGAGGCACTTGAACAGAACAGACCAAGTCACAGTTTTTCGCTTACGCACTGGACACTGCAGACTCAATAAACACTCATATAAATTAGGTATGAGCCAAACAGCTCTCTGCCAGTGTCTTCATGCTGAACAGACTCCAGAACATGTCCTGCAAGACTGTCCTCTCCTGGCGGAGCTGCGGAGCGACATATGGCAACACCCAGTAGAACTGACAACTAAGCTTTGAGGAAACCTAAGAGACCTTGAAAAGACATCCCAGTTTATGACCCACAGTGGATTATGCGCATGACCAGAGATCGCTGAAGAAGAAGAAGATATTCTAAATATACTAGAAGGCGATTACCAGCAGGCGCTGTGGAGAGCGAGCAAGGCAGGGCACTAAAGACACCTTGGTCATCCACTGCACCTAGGTCCATTTCCAATCATCTCGACATTGTCCTGCCACTGGATCAAGATGGACACAGGCGAGAGAGTAAGGTCGACGAATTGTGCAACTCAACTCTTCCTCACTTAAATCCAAGTCCTTGTGCAAGTCACTTTCATCCAGCTAACTTTAAATGAAAGCGGTCTTCTCACTTTCCTCCAGCTAAATTTGGATAAAGTGGTCTTCATCATCCGTGATGGACAAACAACATTCTAAATAGCTAATTCACAGAATTTGTCTGTAGCATGTTATGTTTGAAAGATCATATCTGCGATCATACTTTCACCTTTATACTGAATAATTTAAGCAAATCTAGACAAACAGTTTGCCAAACATCACACCAAGCAGCTGTTGTCAAAATTCTAACCAATCTTTCATATAGACACATGTTTTAGGTGAAATCAGACCATCCAAAGTACACTGGGAAATCACCTGAAAATAACAGAGAAGTACATTTATAACATATGCTGGTATGGATGTCTTAGATCATTTATGTATTTTACTGCCATATTCGTCTGCATAATTTATTTTCCCTGGCCAGAAGGGCTCGGACACCAAAGGCTTTGATACCAAGCCAGTCTCATTCAGTGGATGGTGAAAAATTTTACGGACAAAAAAGCTGGTTAAGAAAGAACACTGGACACTACTCACTACCTGCAGCTTTTACTTTATCGACTCAAAGAGAACCTACAGACCAACAATAACAAAAAGTCTAAAGTGCTAAACAAAGATCAGCACACATTCAACACTTTCATAAGGGAACGAGGTGGGCTAAACTGCCATGAAAATAGTCAATAAATTCTATTTAAACAACTTGAGAGAAAATTTTAGCTTTATAAGTGCACGATTGTAACAGAAAGAATGGATGTGATGGCAAAAAAAAAACTTTATCAGTGCATACAAAGAAAATGATGGAACCACATTAAGAAATTATCTTTGCCTGCATGCAACTGAGAATGAGTTGACCTCTGCAACTAGAGGTAATTTCCAAGATATGTATGAACTAGTATTAAAAACCAGCAAAAACTATTCCAGCTGCAGATTAAAGGTTGAAGAAAAAAATAAGGTACTTAGCTGCTGATTAAAAAGTTCTTAAAAAAGTACTAACTTCACAAATATCAGGTCGCAGCCATTGCAAGTCTGGAGTGATAAGCAAGTTTTTTTTAAGAGAGGGGGGGGGGGGGGGGGTGCCGCATAATTCAGAGTTTTCCTTTCTACAAACAAATGTTTAACTTGTTATTCAAGGTGAAGATTTAGTAACAAATTCCCTGCACACAAGAAATGAAATGCACTTTTAAGTACCTCAGAATTCACCATGTGGGTTCGGGGGTCCCATTGTGAGGGGGAGAAAGAATAGACCCACTGCCTCCCTCCCAAGCATGTCGTACAAAGTGACTAAATAGGAGAGTTTCCTTCACAGTCAGAATGCATCTGCCTGAGAGGCAAGGAACCAACAGTCTGCATACAAATAAACCAGATCTTTAAAACGGATGTGCATGCAAAACTCAAGTTCTGGATTAAGATCAGAGCCCAGAAACGGACAAACAACCAGAACTTTACAGAGTTTGCAGCCAGTCAATGCTGAGAAGAAGAAGAAGATCCCAAAATTTCACATAGAAGATGCCTACAGTGGGTAATAATCACTATGAAAATCATAAGATTATTACTTTAAAAAACAAGCATACAGCAAAAGTATCCAGTAAAGAAGTCAGATTTCTTTGGTATGCTCTGACCAAATGTAATAAAAGAACACAATATGCAAGTCTTGGAATATCAAGGTTAGGGCCAAACAAAAAGCATAAAATGTTTGGGACTGAGAATGTTACTGCCATTATAAAATGACAGTGTGTATCTTCTTCTTCTTCGCGTTCACCTGCTGTAAACTTTGGCAAAAAGTTCTGGTTGTTCATCCACTTCTGGACTGCAGTCCTGTTCCAGTACCTGAGTGTTGCATGTGCATCCCTTTTACAGATCTGACTCATTTGTATGCAAACTGCTGGTTCCTTGCTTCTCAGGCAGATGCACTACGACTTTGAAGGAAGCTCCCAATTAGTCGGCTCTTACAACATGCTTTTGGGTGAGCAGTGGGCCCCGGAACCCACACAGAGAACAGTGTGTATGACTCCAGCAAAAACACTGAAGAAAATACTTACAGGACAAACACCACAGGGGGTTCTCACAAAACCAGAGGTCTCCGTCAATGGTTTCACAGCTCTGTATATTTTTAATGAAGATTCTCCAGTAGACAGCCCTGATGATCCCGTAGTTCTTGCTGACAGTTCTGCTTTACCATCAAATATTAGAGTATCAAGGATTGACTCCATGTCTTTTACTGATAGATTCACCTGTTGACAAGTTCGACTATATTACAACAAAGTCACCTAAGTGATAGATTCACCTGTTGACAAGATCGACTATATTACGACAAAGTCACCTCAGTGATAGATTCACCTGTTAACAAGATCGACTATATTACGACAAAGTCACCTCAGTGATAGATTCACCTGTTGACAAGATCGACTATATTATGACAGTCACTTAAGTGCTAACAAGTGTTTTTAGGAAATGGAGTTTGAACACTGAGATCTCTATGAAACATAACATTGTGGAAAGTGATAACTGTGTAGCTGGATGAAGAGTAATACTTCACTCTCACCTAAGTGCAGTAGGAATTCACAAGGGTGCCTCTGGCATATTGTGAAGTGAGTAAATAGCTTTGAAACTGCATTTGGGGGAACATCACAGAAATTGCACCTAAGTGAATTGTCTTTGAATTGCGGCTTACATATTTAGCTAGTCAGTTCTTTCCTCTTGAGCCTAGGGTGGCGCATAGGACAGAGGTCGCAGCTGTCCATGTCTGGCGGTTCATGCCACCTGTTTTAGGTCTTGGGTGTTCATTAGGCCCATGGTTGAGCCTGTCTTGATGATCATTCTATGCAGGGTATCTCCTCCTTTTATCTTCCCTTCCGGTGTCCATGTGAGGGCTTGATGGGGAAGTCTGGTCTTATCCATTCTGAGTGCATGGCCGGTGTAGTATTTGCTTTCTTATAATTCCAGTTGGAAGGAAACATTCTTTCAGTCTTATCTTCTGGTCCTGTTATGGTTATTATTATCAGTGTATCATCTTTTGTCACCTAGTTGTTGGCCATACACTTTAAATCATGATCTTCTCAACATTTTCAGCTGTGATAGCAAGATCAGGTTTACCTGTGACCTTATGATGACTTTGCAATTTGTATGTGCCACATTTAGTTTTGCTTGATCAATTTAACCACTCAGATGAGAACCAAGGAGTTAAGATCATCCAAGCGTGGTGAGTCACCTCTTTCTCTAGGTGCTGTCCTTCACTCTTTTTTCAACACCCTGTTTTTAATAATAGAATCTGAAAATGTTTTTATCTCCATTACATCTTTCATTCATAGTGCATACACATTCTATATACAAATTCTTAACATTTTTTTTAGGTGGTTAAAATGAAAAGTAAACTGGTAATTACAACTGAATTTTATCTTTGGAGCATTTCAATGTTTTCTTGTTTTACACATATTTCTTGTCTCTCCTTACGAAGACTTATTTACAAATGGTTTTTACTGGGTGAAGCAGCCAGTCCCATTTCTAGCCTTCATACATTTTTTAAACTGGATTTATATGTCAGTTGTGAAGCCATTAACTAACCTCTGTGCTCTGTTTGAACTGAAATGTTTATTTTTCTTATAACTGCCTATAAACTGCATTGTTAAATTGTCCTAATACCCAAGTGAAATGAATCTGGACGTAGACTTGAAGTTACGCTTTCAACTATCTTGAAATGAAGCGATGCTTCATTTGGAATGATTCTTGATTCAACTTGGAATGAACCTTGGTTTACACCGACTTCAACGTCTAGGGTTGACAACACACACTAACGCCACTCAGCTTCATTGTACAATCTGTCAGTTTATTCTGATCCATTTACTTCACTCGCGACACATTCGAACATTAACCATTTGCCCGACATAAAGACGACATCTTCCAATACTACAACCGTCTACTCTGACTTCTCATGATCGACTGACCACGAGGCTAGCTCGGGCTTCGCCTCGCTTACTCCACCGGCCACAAGTATCTCGTGCCGTCACTTGTAGCACGGACTTCCTGCTTGCCACAATGTACTCGTGGAGACCATGCAAAGCAGGGTCATCACACTCTCCCCCCTTTTTAACAAAATGGCACTTTATGGAACATCAAGTGTCATTTTCATTTAACCAAATATAGTAAATCAATTTAATTGTATTACCACTATGGAATTATGGTTCCTGATTATCCTTAATTACTGCCCTTTAAAAACTGCCTTTAATATTTACTGCATGCTTTTCCTAGTACTGAGCTGGTGAAGAGTTTAAACCATCTTTGCACCTATTGCATCTGTAGTATTGTCTAGTCACTATATCTACTCTATCGGGTGTAAAGTGAAATGATGATAGTGATGATGATCAGCTTTGAGATATTTACTACACAGAAAATTGGATTTAACCAATATTTCTACATCACCTTTCACAGGGTGTTAAACCCCAAGGACTCTTAGCCGATATGATAGTGGTAAGATATATTTTTCATAGTGCTTCTAGTTTCCTAAAAGCCCTATAACACCTTTTACAGGGTAATTACCCAACCCCAAGGAATCTACCACAGAAAAAAAAATGCATGTTGAGATATTTTTCATAGACCAAAGTCTCACCTTTCACAGAGTAATTACCCAACTCCAAGGAATCCAACATGTAAACAATGATAATTGAGATATATTTTTCATAGATCTTAAGAGTTTCCTCCAAGTCTATAACCACCTTTAACAGAGTATTCAACTCCAAGGAATCTCAGATGAAATGATGACTATTGGGATGATTTTTAATAGAGTTTAGGGTTTCCCCATCAGTCTCTATATCACCTTTAACAGAGTATTCAACTCCAAGGAATCCCACACACCTTTCCCCCTTTAGATGGATACAGATGAGTTCAACTCCTCTACTGTGCTTGTGCTTTGATGTGTGCACTCTTTCTTTACCATCAGTCTGTCTAAGCATCAGTATAATTAAAGCAGTTTATAATCTTGGGTGTCGTGGACCAATTTACCATGTCCCTGTTCTGTACACCTATGTTAAAACATTTTAAATTGAATTTTGTATCTAAGTCATTCTGTGGAAAAAAATTTCTATATGATCTATCGCTAAATCTTGATCTAATTCTTCTGTGCTGTTCCTGGGGAGAGAGATTTTTTTCTTTTCTTTTTTTTTTCTTAAACTTTTGAACTACTGTCATTACATAAATCCTAAAATAATCCTAATGAACTACTAACCTAAGTTAAATTGCATGTACACTATTAAAATACTACCCACAAATCTTTCATTCATCATTCATACCTGTTTTATTCTCTTTCATTCCCATTCATTCCACTAACTATCCTTGATCTTGATCCATCTCTGCAGGCTGTGTGTGTCTTGCTTGTACTCTGGCGCTTGCTTTCAAGGTTCTCATTCCTTGGTTTGCTCAACAGTCTGCTCTGCTCTGGGGTGTCTCTTTGTAGGATAGCTGGTAATCTTGCAAATATACTGACTAAAAATATACTTTAATTTAATGAGTTAACACAATGCTATTATCAGTGTTCAGTGACTGTATACACTGATATGCCACCTATAAAATAATAATGGAATTAAACGGAAGGTGTTCAATACACACAGTATGTGACTGTTTTTTATAAAATGAAATCAGGTGTTTATGCACACTTTTTAAAATACTTCATCATTAATTTGATATTTATTTACACAGTACTTTAAATAATCAACTTGATCTAAATTTCACAATAAATATTTGTGTGAACACTAGCAATACTGACATTTTTGGTTGTTCTTGATTGCGTTTAACGGTCGGGAATGCTTCATTATTCTCGCATTCTTTATTTTATGATACGTTTGGTATTCGACGATCTTGATATTGTATAGATGCTCTTGAAGTGTCGCTTAGAATTTGATGATTTTTGAGGTATCTGGAGAAAATTTCGTGTTTCTTGATAGTGATTTTCAAATTTGAATAATTCAGTGGCTGATATGGTTCTGTTCATTCACTGTACAGTACTGGTTGGTGATTTCTGATTTTGATTGAAATATGATAATCTTGAAGATGAAGACTGCTAAAATGTCCAAGATGATTGTTCAGGTTTACTCTTGATTGTTTGGTTGAAGGTGGTTCTATGTAGCTTCTTGACATAATAATATTGAACTTCTTGCATGGTGATATGTTAAATTGATGATGTTCAGGATGATGGACCGTATAGTTTCATGTTCGTAAATAGTGATACTTCAGTTAATAAATAAAGATGGTAATTTTCCTTGAATCAGCTGTTATTTTTGTTGATGGAGATGACTTTGTTCCCAAAACTCGTATGTCTTCATCAGAACAGTCTCTAATGTTGAAGTCTTTGTATCCCAGAATCACATCTGTTCCGATGTTGTCCGTTACCACTACTTTCAATGGTCTTGATATATAGGGCGACTTCAAATAAATATAAGCTGTCCAAAATCGCATAAAAAAATCTTCTCTGTTTATACAGTAAACCATTTCTCCGCTATAATCTGATTTTTCTAAAACATTTTCACGTACCAAAGTGATATTTGATTTTCTATTTAATTGCATTTGTGCTGGTTTCTTGTTTATCAAACATTTAGTTGATTTTACACAATATTTCTGACTTGTTGCTCTGTGGAATTGATCATAATCTATATATTTATTGTCCTCTAAGAGTGAAAATTCTTTATCCACAGTTTGCCTATCTATTATTTCACAATCTGTCTTTTTCATACACTGAGTTGCTTTTGTCTCGACTGATGTCATTGTTGGAACAGTGATATCCTTTGCTTGATTAATTTTCATTGTTTCTGAGTTTGACTTTTTCTCTGTTTCAGTGGCTGTTGTCTTTTTCGTTTCAACTTTCTTGCTTGTATTACTACTCTTGCTGGATTCTAATTCTGCAATCACGATTTCCTTCTTAATTTTTTTAGTTCCTGGACATTTCAATTGGCTTTTTCCTATAAACATGATATGTGGAGCTGTAACTTTTCCTTGATTCTTTCTCCAGTAGCACAGTGAACAATCTAGAGTAGGAATACCTTCTGAATCCATTGTAACTGAATTAGTTTTTGCAAACAAGGATCTTTTCTTGTCTTTTAACATCTGTTTCCCAACACAGTGTTTTACAATATGTCCGAATGCCTTACAGAAGTGGCACTTTTTAAGGTTATTCTTTTGTTTATTTTGCCACTTTTTATTGACCAAGTCTTCAATATAACTTGAATATTTAGGATCTCTGTCGCAGATAGTTGCAGAACTGTGCTGGTACTTACAAAAAATGCACATCTTGATCTTCTGGTTACTTATCGATGTATCTTTCATTGTTGTCGCTGAAGATACTTGCGACACAGTGTTCTTACTTTTTACCCACCTTTTAGATGCCATTCTGATAAACGCACATCAATGCAAAAATGTCACCGCAGTAAGAAAACTTAGCATACCTTTGTAAATAAAATTAGTTCGTAGTCTGCTGGTTTCCGAAACAATAATCGTCACAAATCTGATTTAATTCACAAACTTGATTTATAATATTTACGATGTGTAACTCTGGTGACCATGAAACTTCCTGAATTCGCAAAACGTAGTGATACGGTGTGTGGCCGGGCGTAGATGACACACTGGTTTTCATTGGTCGGCAGCTGACCCGTCGGCGCTTGCTGTGTTAATTATAGGCCCTGCTCGGGTAAAAATGTTGTATCGTACACTGTTTTCCGCATGTTTATCTTACCTTGCAAGAAAAATTGTTTTCATATGATTGAGGTCCGCGTGGTTTCGAATTTCCTTCGGACAAGCTCCCCACTTGAAATGAGCCAAAACGTAGACTTGAAATGAACCCAGGCGTAGACTTGCAGTTACGCTTTCAACTATCTTGAAATGAAGCGATGCTTCATTTGGAATGATTCTTGATTCAACTTGGAATGAACCTTGGTTTACACCGACTTCAACGTCTAGGGTTGACAACACACACTAACGCCACTCAGCTTCATTGTACAATCTGTCAGTTTATTCTGATCCATTTACTTCACTCGCGACACATTCGAACATTAACCATTTGCCCGACATAAAGACGACATCTTCCAATACTACAACCGTCTACTCTGACTTCTCATGATCGACTGACCACGAGGCTAGCTCGGGCTTCGCCTCGCTTACTCCACCGGCCACAAGTATCTCGTGCCGTCACTTGTAGCACGGACTTCCTGCTTGCCACAATGTACTCGTGGAGACCATGCAAAGCAGGGTCATCACACCAAGTTTATGATATAGTTACACAGTGAGATAAATTGTACACTAAACTTACCTCAAGTCTGCGATTCGATCACAACGAAACTTAATTTAAGCTGACCTAACCAGGTTTGTCACATAATTACACTGTGATGCACATTTTACTCTATAAACTTATCTAATACTCAAGTCTGTGATTCAGTAACACTGAAACATCATTTAAACTGACCAAACACCCAGGTTTGTCACATAATTACACTGTGAGGCACACTTTACACTCAACAACTAATATCCAATTTTGTAATATAATTACACTGTAGGGCATATTTTTCACTATAAACTTACCTTACTAATACCCAAGTTTGTAATATAGTTGCACTGAAACTTATTTCACACCTACCTTACTAATACTCAAGTTTGGGATATAGTTGCACTGAAACTTATTTTACACCTACCTTACTAATACTCAAGTTTGGGATATAGTTGCACTGAAACTTATTTTACACCTACCTTACTAATACTCAAGTTTGGGATATAGTTGCACTTAAACTTTTTTACACCTACCTTACTAATACTCAAGTTTGGGATACAGTTGCACTGAAACATATTTTACACTTACCTTACTAATACCCAGGTTTGTGATATATTTAAGGACATCCTCTGCTGAAGCATATGAAGCTTGCAATCTTGTCCAAGGATCATCAGCATACACTTTGTTTGCATCTACTGCCTAACACAGAATCAATGGAAATAACATCAACAAATTTCTTAGCTATGAATATGGAACAACTTGTACTGTTAAATATCATATTATTATTTATTTTTATATTTATATTTTTTTATTATTTTTTATTTAGTTAAAGTTAAATATATGATCACAGTTGTAGAACTACTTCACTTTCATTGGCTGTAAACTCTGGCGGAAAGTTCTGGTTGTTCATCCATCTCTGGACTTTAGTCGTGTCCCAGAACCTGAGTCGTGCATACACATCCATTTTATAGATCAGAGATCTGGCTTATTTATATGCAGACTGTTGGTTCACTGCCTCTCAGGCAGATCACTCAAACTTCTAAGGTAACCCCCAGTAAGTCGACTCTTACGATATGCTTGTTGGGGAGACAGTGGGTCTATTCTTGTTTCCCCCACAATGAGGCCCCGGATTAGACACATGGGGAAGCGACGGAACAAATTTTGTCTGAAAAAACTAAGTTATAATAGTTTTACACAGTCCTCCTTTCGAACAATTTAAAGGAAATGGAACATTTAATCGTATCTGTTTAAAACCACAAGGAAGATCTAAACCTGTTCCTGAAATTAACCCTCTGAAGATGGAGTCTTTTTGGAGATTTCAGTGCCAAAAAGACGAAACTTCAGGAGGGGATTCTCACAGTTTATACACAAAAAATTATTTTAAAAAATTAAGCTTTTAATTAACATATATAAAACTATATACATTCGAGTAGGAAATTGAATGAGCTAACAGAATATTTATGAATCAAACTGAAATCTCAACATTTATTCAAACTGACTATGCTGGTTTGCATGATTTATGCAAGCACTTTTTTTTAAACTTTGGAACAAACATGACTAACCTAAAAAAATGTGGGTGAATTTTTTTTATGGATGAAGCTTGAATAAGTCCTAACACTTGTGTTTTGGGAAGTAAGGCCCTTCAGAGGCCTTTCACACATAGTTCTACTCATTTTCCTGCCTCCAGCTATGTTTCAGTTGCTACGACATAACAGTCTTTTTTCACCATTGTTGGGCACAGGTAAACCCAGAAAAAAATTGATGTAAAATTACCGCACAGATTAAACTTTCTCGAAAGCCGTCAATAAACAGCCCACATATGCAAGAAATGCGAGAAGCTATCTGATTGGCTGGCATGAAAACTAGTCCATTTTTGCTGGGGTCGACAGAGTCGCGGCTATGTGGCCTGCTGGTTGACGGAGTGTCTTTAAGTGCTACAGAAGGTGCTGTGGTAACTTGTTTGTGTTGACCAACATGGAGTTGTAATGGGAAAATGCTGGTCAGCGGAGTCCCTTAGTTATTACGGATTACAGCAGTTGACTGGTGGTTGATCAGTTTCTTCTTCTTCTTCTTCTTCTCGTTCACCAGCTGTAAACTCTGGCGGAAAGTTCTGGTTGTTCATCCACTTCTGAACGGCAGTCCTATACCAGTACCTTAGTGTTGCATGTGCATCCGTTTGACAGATCTCACTCATTTGTATGCGGACTGCTGGTTCCTTGCCTCTCAGGCAAATGCACTCCGACTTCGAAGGAAGCTCCCAATTAGTCGACTCTTACGACATGCTTTTGGGTAGGCAGTGGGTCTATTCTTGTTTTCCCTATAATAGGGCCCTGAAACCCACACAGGGTGGTTGATCAGTGATACTTAAGAGTGACTGGGTAGCAGACTGGAGGTCTGGATTCTTTTCACTAAGTGGTGCATCTACCTTAGGCCTCAGGTGTCTTAGAAGGACAGCCATCAGAGAACTGTCGCTGCACATTGCATAGATGTATCTGCTGTAAGAATGTATTCTTACCCTCTGCTGCAAGAATTTATGAGCTTGTGCGTTGAGGATTTCCACAAACTCTGACTCAAATTCAGAAGCAGAATACCAGGGCCCTCCAGTGACAGACTGGTCTGGCTGAAGGTTGTACAGCATGTACACTTTTTTCTTGGATGCCTTTAAATAACAAATTTAAAAAGAGGCAAAATAATTACAACGTGCACAATTTATGCATGTACAAAATTTTTCTTGGATGCCTTTGAAAAAACAAAATGAGAATAATTAATTACAATGTCCATAACAGTTTGTCAATACAGCTCAGCATTACTAAACTAAAGGTGAAAGATCCCTTTTTTTTCCTGCCTCCTTCTTCTTCTTATAGTCCATGTCGTTTGGCACTGGTAGTCAGTCATATCTATCCACAACCTTCTGTCTCATGTATCTTCAATTGTTTTCCTGACACAGAAATCTTCCACGCTATGCTGTCAAATTTTCCAGTATTTTCTGTTTCAGTCTCTCCACCCCTTTCCCTCCATTCAATGTGACCAAAGCATGTTGATTATCTCCTTCTAATGTGGATAATCATGAGTTAATTTTGTTCAAGACATCTCTATTGTTTTTTAACCTGTCCAGTGTGTTCACATCATTTGTCTATAAAACTACATCTGTGCTACTGCCACATCATTTGTCTATAAAACCACATCTGTGCTACTGCCACATCATTTGTCTATAAAACCACATCTGTGCTACTGCCACATCATTTGTCTATAAAACCACATCTGTGCTACTCCCACATCATTTGTCTATAAAACCACATCTGTGCTACTCCCACATCATTTGTCTATAAAACCACATCTGTGCTACTCCCACATCATTTGTCTATAAAACCACATCTGTGCTACTCCCACATCATTTGTCTATAAAACCACATCTGTGCTACTCCCACATCATTTGTCTATAAAACCACATCTGTGCTACTCCCACATCATTTGTCTATAAAACCACATCTGTGCGACTCCCACATCATTTGTCTATAAAACCACATCTGTGCTACTCCCACATCATTTGTCTATAAAACCACATCTGTGCTACTCCCACATCATTTGTCTATAAAACCACATCTGTGCTACTCCCACATCATTTGTCTATAAAACCACATCTGTGCTACTCCCACATCATTTGTCTATTGAAAAACCATCATGTGCTACTCCCACATCATTTGTCTATGGAACAATAAACTCACATCTGTGCTACTATAACATCAAACATCATTTGTCAGAAATAAAACTAATGTTGTCAGCAATAGAAACCGGACGTCACTTTACTAAACAACACAATCTGTGCTACATCCCGGATGAACAAATTTGACCTCAAGAAAACCACATTTTCTAGTGAATCAAGACATTTAATACTTTGTCTATAAAACCACTAATCTGTGCTACTACTATAATCATTTGTTTCTATAAAACCACATCTGTGAGGGGACTCCCACATCATTTGTCTATAAAACCACATCTGTGCTACTTGCACATCATTGTGTCTATGGGAAACCACATCTGTGCTATCTACCCACCATCACCAAGTGAGGTGTAAAACCACACTACACCACATCATTTTCTGCCAAAACCACATCTGTGCATTAGTCTCCCACATCATTTGTCTATAAAACCACATCTGTGCTACTCCCACATCATTTGTCTATAAAATCACATCTGTGCGACTCCCACATCATTTGTCTATTAAAAAACATCTGTGCTACTCCCACATCAGTGTTGTCTATAAAACCACATCTGTGCTACTCCCATATCATTTGTCTATAAAACCACAATACACTGTGCTACTCCCACACCATTTGTCTATAAAACCACATCTGTGCGACTCCCACAGTCATTTGTCTATAAAACCACATCTGTGCTACTAAACATCATTTGTCTATAAAACCACATCTGTGCTACTCCCACATCATTTGTCTATAAAACCACATCTGTGCTACTCCCACATCATTTGTCTATAAAACCACATCTGTGCTACTCCCACATCATTTGTCTATAAAACCACATCTGTACTACTCCCACATCATTTTTCATTATTGAACATATATCATATATTGAGAATTCATGCCATAATAAATAAAATATAAACTAAGTGGAACACATAATGATCTCTAACATAATGTAAACTATAACATCAAATCTACTGATTTATGGTTCAGAAAGATAACTAATGTTGAACTCAGCAATAGAAACCGGACGTGTTGACTTTACTGCAAACAAGCACAATGCAAATACATCCTCGGATGAACAAAGAAGACCTCAAGAGAACTGGACATTTTCTAGTGAATCAAGAGGTGATTTTAATTACTCTGATACTGAATAGGAAACACTAAGTAAACCAACTAATACTATAAGTAGTCCCTGTGTTGTTTCTGGGGGACCTATTTTTGTGAGGGGTGTGGGGGGGGGGGGGGGGGGGGGAATTATGCTTGTAATGTTTCTGGTGATATGTTTATTTTGGGAATTATGCTTGTAATATTTCTGGTGATATGTTTATCTACTGCCACCATCACCAAGTGAGTGTCAAGCCACTACACCACGGCAGCTCATTCTTCTGCCAAAGGTATTCTGCAAATTATCATTAGTCTCCCATTTTCGTTTTCCCTTTCAAGTTCCAACATTAATTTCTGCTTATCTGTCTTTTCATCTTGCCCTACTAAACGTATGGTGCATCTATCTCCACATTTATTTTAAATTTGGTTAAATCTGCAGAAACTTATCATTAAACAGTAGTGTTTTAATCTAAAAAAAAAAGGTAATTGCACTGCAACAATATTTAACTCATTGAATAACAAGTAACGCACAATACACTTAGTGTTTTATCTTCACTCGTTTACATTTGTTATTAACACTTCTGTCCTAGTAAGTAGTTACTTTTAAGTAACTTATGTATGCTCAATAATAAACTTTCTGGTAGAGAAAAAGTTTAAAGAGGTAAAAATGTTTCATGGTGCAAACATTGACAGATTCAACACCGTGAATTAGCTTTTTCCTGTCTAAATTCCTCAAATGCAAGTTCACTCTTGAATATTATGAATAAGCACAGCTGTATTTATGCTTGTAATGTTTCTGGTGATATGTTAATTTCTGGAATTATGCTTGTAATGTTTCTGGTGATATGTTAATTTCTGGAATTATGCTTGTAATGTTTCTGGTGATATGTTCATTTCTGGAATTATGCTTGTAATGTTTCTGGTGATATGTTAATTTCTGGAATTATGCTTGTAATGTTTCTGGTGATATGTTAATTTCTGGAGTTATGCTTGTAATGTTTCTGGTGATATGTTAATTTCTGGAATTATGCTTGTAATGTTTCTGGTGATATGTTAATTTCTGGAATTATGCCTGTAATGTTTCTGGTGATATGTTAATTTCTGGAATTATGCTTGTAATGTTTCTGGTGATATGTTAATTTTTGGAGTTATGCTTGTAATGTTTCTGGTGATATGCTTATTTTGGAAATTATGCTTGTAATATTTCTGGTGATATGTTTATTTTTGGAGTTATGCTTGTAATGTTTCTGGTGATTTGTTTATTTTTGGAGTTATGCTTGTAATGTTTCTGGTGATATGTTTATTTTTGGAGTTATGCTTGTAATGTTTCTGGTGATATGTTTATTTTAGGAATTAGGCTTGTAATGTTTCTGGTGATATATTTATTTTTCTTATGTATTGAAACTTATGAGACACCTTGCAGAATAAGGTGACTTAATATACCGTAGAATAAAGTGACTTAATATACCGAAGAATAAGGTGACTTTATATATCGTAGAATAAGGTGACTTTATATATCGTAGAATAAGGTGACTTAATATATCGCAGAATACGGTGACTTAATATATCGTAGAATAAGGTGACTTAATATACCGTAGAATAAGGTGACTTAATATACCGTAGAATAAGGTGACTTAATATACCGTAGAATAAGGTGACTTAATATACCGTAGAATAAGGTGACTTAATATACCGTAGAATAAGGTGACTTAATATATCGTAGAATAAGGTGACTTAATATACTGTAGAATAAGGTTACTAAATATACTGTAGAATAAGGTGACTTAATATACCAACTATGTGGAAAGAGATCAAGGTTTGAAAACTTAAAATGTTTCAGGGTACATACATTTACAGATCTGACGGCTTTGATTATCTTTTTGCTTTCCAAATTCTTCAAGATCTTGTTCAGGACTTGAATGTTTTTCAGGTTGCTTTTGATTCGAATATCTCGAGTCCATATTCCTATTAAATATAAAAGCACAGCAAAGTTAATTCATATAAGACGCAGGTTTCTGAAATGATTATAAGTACGATGTATGTTTCATGAATTATTTGTACTTTTGAAAAGCCAAAAATTATTGTCAGTCTCATCTGTTCTTCTTAATGTTTACAGATGTAAATTCCAGTGGAAAGTTTTGGTTGTTTGTCCACTTCTGGACTTTGGTCTTCTTCAAGAACTTCAGTTGTGTGTGCATATCCATTTTACAGATCTCACTTATTTATTAGTGTATTTATATATTTATATACCTGTTTACTATTGATCCTTGTCTCTCACGGATATGCATTCTGACTTAAAAAGAAACTGTCCTGATAAGTCAGCTTTTACGACATGCCTGTGAAGGGTAGTGGGAGTTCTATCCTCTTATAACACAGCTCCAGAAACCGACAGGGACATTGTCAATAAACTCTGTGTCTTGAGACATACTGGGTACAGTTGAGTCTGGATAAATAGAAGTCACTGGGACCTAAGGAAATTGTTGCATTTATCAAGAATTCTACTTATCCAGACAGCATATACAACAGAGAATGTATACTAAAACCAAGCAGACTGAGTCAGCCTAGGAGGTCAGGCCAACTTTTTTTTTTGCGACCCTCTTAACTCTTTAAGGCCCAAACAATGGTGTGAGCATAGTTTGGGAAGTTCCGTTCTGCCCAAACAACGGTGTCATCGTCAATCGAGTGTCACTTACATTTTGCTTCACAGGCGCGTTCGTACTAGTTTCTAATGTTTGGAGGTACGATTAAACTATTCAGGGAAAGTCACTCTGCCAAAATCCTTTTAGTTTCATTTCCTAGACTAAACCACACGTGGATAATTTGAGAGAAAAAAAACAGCGAAATTCTTTTCAAAAGTTCTCGCGTACTTTCTGGCCCAAGGCGTTTCTAATGTCATATGGTTCCCCCCCCCAACTCATGCTGGTCGGCCCCTACCTTTATTGTTGCTTGTTATCCGTACTGACACCATAGCACACTGGTCCGAGCCATTCATACTCCATCCTCCAATGCAGCAGCTATGTCAGTGTCTCTACTCATGGAGACCAGTAGAAGTTGACTGGCATATCTTCTCACAGCCCAGCAACCAGTTACTGCATGCAGGTGGATTTATTGTTTCTCACCCCTTTGTTTCAGTGTCTCTGAAACACAGACCATTCAGTATGTCTGTCCTGTCCTTACATCTTTTTCACAAACCACTATTAACACAGCCATTCTTTCAGCTCTTTTATCTCCTTGCACCCCTGTGTACCGTGGTGTGTACAGCCAAGTGAGTTTCTTGAGTCTGGACTTCTGGATGCTGTTAACCCATTCTAGGCCCATCTACCTCTCTTATCCGGTACCACAACTTCCACTGCTGTCTTTTCAAGCAACTTTGATATTTGATATGGCCTTAGAATTTCAGTTTCTGAGACAGAATGCTGTTTGTGAACCAATTTTCCTAGACGCTAGGATCTTTTAGAATGTAAATATTTCTTTCCTTCTTGTTCCATGGTATTTTTTAAGAGTCTTTCTGCAGTATTTCAGCTCAAAAACCTTGATTTTCTTCCTTACTGACTGCAAGATAGTCCATAACTCACATCCCTATGTTGCTACAAGGAAGATGCACTCTTGTCAAAATTGTTACTTTTATTTACTTGCTTGTGCTTGTAATGCATGCTACAGTACAAAGATAAAAGACAACTGACCTTTATTCTGAGCATCCCTGATGATTTGAAACACAATTTTCTCTTCTGTATCTGCACCCTTGACTTGGCTGTAAATGTGTGAGGAGAAAATTGATTATGAACCACAATGTATTCATAAAAATACAGAATATAAATATGTGAGGCTGATCGTGTTTACAATACTTTACAAATTGTTGTCCAAAGAATTACTTTCATAATTTCTTGATATATGTCATATACCGCTCGTGTCGTGTGTCGATTTCTCCTTAAGAACCAACAGCACTCTGAAATAAAATAATGTTGAGGCGTCGGCTCGTATTGGTCTAAGGTATATCCTGTGGCCAATATACGCTCAACCTATTTCAGGAGTAGGGCAACTCAAGTTCTGGCACTATAGAATATCTAATAATCCGAGGCGCAACTTGGCTGGACACCCCCACTACTATAAAAAGATAGCCCCCAGGCTATGATAGTGTACTATCATAGCCATGTTAACACAGATGAAGATTATTAATTGAACATACATGTACTTTAGACAGCTAAGAACAATGAATGATTGACACTCCAGTCAATAGTGAAAACTTGGAAATACATGTAATAAGTTCAACATCAACATGATATAAGAATCAGCAAAGAACATCAAGCACCCAGAGTGATATGAAGGACCAAAACTCTAAAACAGATCTGACTGACTGTGTAAGAGATTCCCAAGGTCCGCCTAGATCATCATCATGATCATGTGGACGATTAATAGTGAAGCCTGGCAATAAACCAACGATTGACCACACTTATCTGAATCCCTGGTTTCTTGAACTTCCTGGATGTTCAGTCACTCTGTTGTTACGTTGAAGACAGTCCCACACTAAACACTTGAACACTGGAGATGCACCCAAGCTTCTGGAGAGGATCTTGCATACCAAGTCAATCACTTGAGGCACAATCAAGCTTCCGGATAAATAATGGTGAAGGTACAACACCCATAATGTTTGTCTGTAGACCAACTGGAGGATTTCATTTAATGGAAGACAAAAGTTTGGTTTACAATCTGATGCCCACCACTGGCTTAGACATAGGTGACTTCCCTGTTGGTGGTTTTGTGGACCGCTGATTCACTGCCTGGCCTCCAAGAAGATATCATCACAAGCTTAGGAATCCTTCAATGATTAAACTGGTATTTTGAATGCGCCAAGATTTAATCAGAGAAGTGAAATGCTTCTGCACGCCTAGGGAGTCAGGCAAAGAATGACCTCGCCTGGCGTTTCTAGAAAAAAAATGTCCTGTATTAGTACGCCAAGGAGTAAAAAGGTTTCCAGGAATACAGAATATTATTCCAGAAAATATCTATCCCACAGTTGCAAGTTTGAAAATGTAGAATTTTCAAAACAACTAGAGGGTATAGAAATATCTATTCCACCAGATAGAGGTTTATATCAATATGAGGGACTATATACCCACCGGACGGGTATAAATTTGAAATGTGACCTGCCCGCTAGGGGCGTCAACGTCAGGATGAGTTTACTGTGCAGGGTTTGGTTGATTCACTCCGTGACATTATAAAACAAGGCAAGTATGATTATAATTTACAATAACAAGCAGACAAAAAGATGGTGGAAAGATCATATCTAGGCAAACTTCAAACACATGGAGTCGCCAACAGGAAAGAGGCCTTCTTTTACCAGGTAAGGAATGCAATCAAAACTTTACATTGTGGAGCGGTGATTTCGGTCACAGGCATGAGGGGAAGTTAAGTCTGATGTGATGTGTATAAGGAGATATTCCTTACCCCACTCGGGCGCCAGTTCTGGTTTTACGGAACCTCATGCAAGACTCCTGTTGCACGTCCCCGTCGTGCCCCACGGATAATGTCTCAAATGAGCATTAACAGAGTTGGCAGGGGATCTCGGAGCTGGCGGCCCCTAGAGGTGTAGAGTCCTTTCTGGCTCTCACCAGCCCGCCCCCAAACGCATGGGTGAAAAGTAACAAAACTCAAGGATTGCTTGCTAAATGTACCATCAAATGACAACTCTTGGTTAAAATTCGGGAGCGAATGGAAAACTGTGCTGCTGAGACTCAACCCTGACCGAGAGATTTACCCGCAGCCAAGACGAGTAACATCTCTTGTGGGCGACTTCTCGCAGCAAGATCCTACCTACGTACATCCTCTGTCAATCCTCAGTGTCGTCGTCACCACGCTGAGGTACACCATGGCAGCAACTATTCATATGCTGGCTTGTAAACAATGTCCGACAAAGTTACACCCCACGACACACATGCAAGCTCAAAGTCCGACGATCATAACTCGTACCGATTAGGAAAAGTCTGAATGTCCGTATCCACTGGTCCAACTCGCCCGAGTGTTGGGACCAAACAGGTGCAGCCATGCCTGACGCACTTTGCTTCCCCATTCTGTCGTGCTAAGGGCACAGCTGAAACAACGTTAAAGGTGTCTAACGTAAGATGAAAAAGAATGTACCTATTTGAGTGGCCACAAACGTCCTAGACCTGCGGACTGCTCCCCGCTGATCTCCGGAGAGCGCAGCCTTGTAGCGCGGGAAGCTCAATACACGGTTGTGAGGTTAAGCAGTCATGGGCAGGACGTGACGATTCCTTGGGTGAGCCCAGAACCAGAGCATCATGTGTCGGCTCTGCATTTATGGAAGCCTCCTTGGATGGCGGGGAATGCCCATAATCTGCCCCTGCCTTCTCTTGAGGGCTGAAAACTCTACATAGAGCTGCCTTAAGGACGACATGCCGGGGGCCACACCTGCTAAAAGTCAAAGAGGACACCACACAAATAAGGCAACATCTCGACCCACACAAAACAATGGCCACAGTCAATCTAGAAATAGGCTTGACGTCTTCCTCCGAAGTCGGAGTACATCTGCCGGAGAGGCGGGGAACGAGTACTGCAAACAAATAAGCCAGTAAAACGGATGTACACGCAAAACTCAGGTCAAGGTAAAAGCCAAAAGTCCATTTTGGAAGAACAACCGTGACTTACCGCCAGAATTCACAGCCGGTGAACAAGAAGAAGAAGAAGAAGAAGAAGAAAACTTTACATTGGAATTCTACTTTTCTCCATTAAAAAAAGGGAATTTGAAGTCATAGGCTACTTTTAAGTCCATTCTGTGTATTCAGAAATTTTAAAAATCTAACAGCAGGGTAATTTTTTTTTAAAGGAAGGGGGGGGGGGGCATGTTTGTGCAAAAGAATAAGGTAGATTTACAATGTTTATAGAAAACCCATTAATGATCAGGTTTTCTTCTTCGCATTCACCAACTGTAGACTCTGGTAGAAAGTTCTGGTTGTTCATCCACTTCTGGGCTGCAGTCCTGTTCCAGAACCTGAGTGTTGTGTGTGCATCCGTTTTACAGATGTGACTCATTTGTATGCAGACTGCAGGTTCCTTGCCTCTCAGGCAGATGCCACCCGACTGTGAAGGAGATCCCAATTAGTCGACTCTTACAACATGCTTTTGGGTAGGCAGTGGGTCTATTCTTGTTTTTCCCACACGGGGATGATCAGGTTTAAAAATGATCTTCTTGTGACTTACACTATCTATCCGCTTCTCTAGCTAAGAAGTTTAGCATAAATACCCAGTTATACTTCTCTGTGAGTGACGGCCTCACAAAACAAAACAAAAAAGTTATACACCCAGATAAACTGCTCATGCTGTACTAACCTTAAGGCATCAGGATCTTTCAGCCTATAAAGTAGCTTTGCACCACTTTGCAGAATTTCAATCTTGTTCTGGAAATGAAGAAAGAAATAAGAGACATTATTACAGAAAATACTGTTTCTTATGCCTTTTGCAGTTTCCTTTGTTTTAAAACCAAATATATTATGACGTTTGCCTTATGAGAAAACATTACTTTAAATGTTTGCATTTTATGTTCACAAATTGGATGCAATGATTCCTTGGGTGTGTCCAGTATCTGGATGCAATGATTCCTTGAGTGTGTCCAGTATCTGGATGCAATGAATCCTTGGGTGTGTCCAGTATCTGGATGCAATGATTCCTTGGGTGTGTCCAGTATCTGGATGCAATGATTCCTTGGGTGTGTCCAGTACCTGGATGCAATGATTCCTTGGGTGTGTCCAGTATCTGGATGCAATGATTCCTTGAGTGTGTCCAGTATCAGAGCAATATGTACTACCTCTGCATTTATGGAAGCCTCCTTGAACGGTGGGGAATACTTGTGTTCTGCCCTTGTCTCTCCTGAGCGTTACGTGGCTGCTGCTGACCAGCCTGGGTGGCATCAGCTGTGGACAGGAAAACAAAGATGACCACACCGCAAAGTCCCAAGAAACTTCTTCTTCTTCTTCACGTTCATCAGCTGTACACTCTGGCGGAAAGTTCTGGTTGTTCGTCCACTTCTGAACTGCAGTCCTGCTCTAGAACCTGAGTGTTGCGTGTGCATCCGTTTTACAGATCTGATTCACTTGAATGCCGACTGTTGGTTCCTTGCCTCTCAGGCAGATGCACTCCAATTTCAAAGGAAGCTCCCCAATAAGTTGACTCTTACGACATGCTTTTGCAGCAGCAGTGGGTCTTTGCTTGTTTTCTCCATATTGGGGCCCGGAAACCTACATGTGGGTCCCAAAAAACTAACTAGGAAGACTAACCCAGGCAACAAACGCCCGAAGAAGTCGGATATGTCAGCCGAACGGTGCAAATACTGTAGCCATGCTGTAAACGGGCATGACACAATTACATTTTTGGATAAACGCAGAAGAAAATTTTCACAGAAAAATATACATAACATAAGATAAAAAAAGGAAGGCAAGAACATACTACAATGAAAAGCCTTATTCCTTTACTTCCAGCGATGGGCTTTTTTTTCTAAAGGAAATGCTTCTTCTTGTTATCGGTTCAAGAAAATCTCATAAAGAAATTTAGCCAAGATTGCTAAACATGCAACCTACAGCTGAAATCATTCAGGCTCAACTGATAAGGAAGAAAATCATTTTTTAAAATTGGCAAAAACTTAAAATGCAAAAGGGACACAATCCATTGTTTGTTTACATTCACATAATAATGTTCTGTAATATTTAATATGGGAGTCGCCGTGGCAGAGCGGATCGGAAGGTCGTGGGTTTGCTCCCTGGCGAAGCCGGACTTTTCTTTAAAAATGACCTTGGCTCCCAGGTCGACCCAGACTTGAGTGGGTACCGGGTGCAGTCCCGGGAAGTAGAGGTGGCTGGCTTGATGCTGACCACATCACCCAACTTGTGTCGATGGTCTATAAAAATATAGGTCTAGCCCTATATGCCTAAAGGCGTGGAAAGGGTCCTTGACTTTTTTTTTACTTTTAACATTGCTTCAAGTTAGGGTTACGGTCAGAGTTAGAGCTAATCCTAATCCAAACCTCAAAGAATATTAAATATTAACTCTTTGAGTCCCAGAGGGTTTAGCATCACAGGCCCAAGAAGTAGTCAAGAGACACGTAAAATCAACGCATCATGCGTTCATTGGGCTTCTAGACAGTAACCTATGAACGTATGATGCATTCCTTGGGACTCAAAGAGTTAAAGAATATTACTATGTGAACTTACACGAACAATGGATTACATCTCCTAGTGTCTATATTTAAAGTATTAGTAATTTACATTAAATTGCATCCTTTAGGGTTGCCATTTTCAGATTTGCCAAAAAAATGGCTCCATATGGCCATTCACACTTACCACGGACAGCAATCTGTTGACCGCACTAACTCTCTGTTGAATGTCGCTTTGTGAGATAGCCTGCTTGATGAAATCATCTGAGATTCCCTTTGGATTCTGGCTACAGAGTTCAATGATTCTGATACAAATAAAATAACATCACCAGTTAGGAAGACCCTTTGTAACACTAACAGATATAATATAAGAAGTTAAGAAATCAAATCTAGTGCCAAAAAAATAATTACTATTATAGTAAGAGAGTAAGTAAAGGTTTTTTTTTTAAACCGTATGCTGTATAGGTTAGACTAATTAGTTTTAAACAGCAAATACTAGATCCGTTGGCACTCTTCCGAAAACCGGTCCCAAATTATTCGCTTTTAAAAGAATCCAATTCAGGGCCTCAAGATGCTCAATGGTCAAGTCACAGGTAGGTAATCTTATTTCTTTTTGTTGCCCTTAAAAAGGCGGTTGGCACACTGTGTTGTGGTTTACAGGTAGACTGCGATATCTGCGCCTTTTGCCCCAACACATTTGATTTCAGCAAAGTCCTAATTAGTTGCCTTTCACAAAATGCTTTGTAGGTGGCAGTGGATTGATTCTGTTTATTTTTCCTCAAACATGTGGCCCTGGAATCAACAAGGCGAGTCATGGGTAATGTGAACAATCTATCGAAAACTATTCCTCCCCACGACGCTTTAATGGAGCGAAAACTACTCCTCCCCATGACACTTAAACAATGGATCAAAATTTATTCCTCCCCACGTCGCTTCAATAGATTAAAAACTAATCCTCCCCATGGCGCTTAGCTCAACGTCTAAACATTGCTATCCATCGAGCAAAAATGGCAGAAGTAGAAACAGATGATGATGGCCTAAATGTTTTTACTACATAAGCTCTTGAGGCTCTCAAAGGGATGTGTTTCACAGTGAATAATTTGGGACCAGTATTTGGAAGAGTGCCGATCCATTGATTAACTTCTTTAAATTAATGCATAAATGATATAAATTAGAAAATGAAATGACAACGAAAAAATTTCAAATGAAATTCTGGAATAAATGCAAACCAGCTGCCTCACTCACTGACATTTAAGTGTTTTCCAGTAGTAGTAGTAGTAGTAGTAATAGTAGTAGTAGTAATAGTAGTAGTAGTAGTAGTAGTAGTAGTAGTAGTAGTAGTAGTAGTAGTAGTAGTAGTAGTAGTAGTAGTAGTAGTAGTAGTAGTAGTGTAGTAGTAGTAGTAGTAGTAGTAGTAGTAGTAGTAGTAGTAGGACTCCGAGTAGTAGTGGTGGTGGTAGTAGTAGTAGTATAGGCTCTCCTCTGAATAACGGTCCCAAATTATCGAGGCAGAAAATGTACCCTAACAGAGCCTCAGTCACATGTAAATTGCAGACCTCTTTCCGTTGTCTACACAGCATACAGCGGAAAAGCTTCCGCCGAGTTAAAGTCACCGCTGAAAGTATCTCCAACACATCTACGCGTGGCATGGAGCGAGGCCAAACTAGATGGCTGAGACTCACGAGCAGCGGCCACCGCATCTCTTGCAGCTTCCTTCATTTTATTTGCTCGTGAGTCCCAGCCATCTAGTTTAGCCCCACTCCGCAGCGCGGGAGATACTCTCAGCGGTGGCAGTATAGTCGCCGGAAAGAGATCCGCAATTTACATGTGACTGAGGGCCTGATAGGGTATATTTTTGGCCTCGATAATTTGGGACCGTTATTCTGAGGATAGCCGTAGTAGTAGTAGTATAACGGCTTTCCTGTAAACTACGGCCGGTAGACAACAGTTGACGGCCGGTTAGTAGCAGTTCTGTCCCCTGGCTGCAGTGCAATTACGGACTGGAGACGGCACGAATCAAAAAACAAAGTGAGGTCGACATGCCTGGCAGAACCCGCGCTGCGACTCAGGTTAACGACCGCGTTCAATTACCACTTCTTGCGACGCATTACGGAGTGGATTAGGGGGAAGGAAACAAGTGACATAATTACTGTGTGTTGGCGATAGACAGCGTGCAGTGCCCTACTGTCATCATGCGGTTGGGGTTTGGGTTAGGTTTAGGGTGTAAGTTAGGGGTAGGGGTTAGGGTTAGGGTTTGGGTTGCTATGTTGAGTTTCTGCGAAGACGAGATGCGGCGACACTAACCGCAACGCTAACCCTAACCCAAACCCTAACTCTAACCCTAACCTAAACCGTATGATTATAGCAGGGCAGTGCATGCTGTCTATCGCCAACACACAGTAATTGTGTCAATTGTTTCGTTCCCTCCTTTTCCACTTCGTAATTGCACTGTAGCCAAGGGACAGAACTCCGACTAACCGGCCGTCTACTGTTGTCTATCGGCCGTAGTTGACAGGAGAACCTATTCTATAACTTGACTTCTACGTCAATTAATTAGAAGTATAATTTTATTATTATTATTATTTAGTTTTAATGTATTTCTGAATTCAATTTCCCAGTTCCAGCTGAAAACTAACACATCTAAAACGCTCCACGAATAGCAACAAATGCGAATATTAAATTCTCAACCTGTCGGCATCGCATCGGTTGGTCACTTGGCACTTACTTGGCCCACATCATCATCATCACTAAACTTAGGGAACAAACCACTGCTATACTGTCATTATTCTTATAAGTATATGTTACAATACTAATATAAAACAGGAATAATACATGACCACATTATACATTTACACTAGAATATCTCACTTTGAATCGATGTCCAACTCTTCAGCGGGTTCATTTTTGATTGTGAGCGCAGCCATCTTGAGAATTGCTGTGTATGTAAGAAAAGTTGGATTGGCTGTTTATTCTAGTTTCTCATTTGGAAGACTTAATTAATTCGTCAATGCACGGCTGTCTGTAACTATAGTTATAGATTGCTGTGGTCAAGACCTGTTTTCCCAGAAAAAAAAATTATATAAAAAACAGACAATGCATTGATCTGCACTCATACAAAGAAGCACAAAACGCAGATGTATCATATATAAGTTTTTTTCAGAAAATTTCTTTTTCTTATTTTCCTATGTCAGTATTTTGAATGGGTGCTGTCATCATGCAAGGATGTGTACTTTCACCTGATTTGTTTTCAATATGCATTGAATATAAAATTAGATCTTTAATTGATGTGCCCGGAATTGTGGTTGGTGTGCACAATATAAACAATTTACGTTATGCTGATGACACAGTCTTGATAGCAACAAGTCAGAAAGAATTACAGGAAATGATAGACATTGTGGTGTTAGAAAGTGAAAGAATGGCCTCAGTTTGAATAATGGGAAGACAGAAGTAGTGGTGGTATTAAAGAAACAAATTATTCCTAAATGTGTAATAGAAGTCAATGGTGTTATTATGTAAGTATCTGGGCACATGGATAACATCAGATGGAAGATGCATAACTGAAATAAGAAACAGAATTGGACAGGCAAAAACTGCATTTTATAAAATGAAAAACATCTTGTGCAATATATCCTTGTCATTGAGAGTTGGAAAAAGAATTCTTGCTTGCTACATGCATCCAGTTTTAACATTTGGCTGTGAATCCTGGACAATCAGTAGGCAGGCCAAACAATTTTTAGAGGCCTCAGAGATGTGGTTTTACAGAAGAATGCTTAGAATACCTTGGACAGCCAAAAAGAGCAACCAAGAGGTTTTTAAAAAGGCGGGAGCCCTAAGACAACTTATCACAGACATCAGAAAGAGACAGTCACCATTTTCGGCCATGTTATGAGAAGAGGGAAAATAGAATATTTTGTGACCACTGGAAAGATCTGTGGAAGGAGGGATAGAGGAAGACAAAGATAGAAGATGCTTGACAGTCTTGTTGCATGGCATTAGGTGTGTCGGCACACGAACTGATACATGCTGCAGGAGATCGCAGATTATGAAGAGGAATGATAGCCCACGCCAGTCGGCAAGGCACCTGGTGATGATGATGATGATGTCATCATTTCAGAAAGGAAAAAAAAAGCTGTTTTGTGGTGTTCTCTTGAAAATAGAATTGTAAGAGCGAATGTTCCAAGTCCCACAATTAATCAAATTAACATGAAAAGAGAAAGCAAACTGAGGTAACTGGGTATCATTTTCGATAGAAGCCTGTCCTTTAGGGATCATGTGGAGACAGTTGCGGTAAAATGTCAAAAAGGACTCGATACTCTCAAAATTATGGCAACAATGGACATGGAACAAATAATGCTGCCCGCAATGTTCCAACATGTGATCCTGTCGGTGATAGATTATGGACTGGAATGCTTATCATGTCAAACAGTCAGCTGATGAAACTTGAACACATACAGAATGAAGCCACGTGGGTAACTCTGGGATGTACAAGAGACACCCTGGTAGTATGTATGCGATATATACTTGCACTGCCTACTATTGTAGATGTGCTTAAAGTTTTGCAAGCAAAGTCATATCTCAGAGTAGCTGCAGACAATAAGCATCTCCTGCATTAAGCCCTGGATAGAGCTAAGGGTCACAGACTAAAAGAGTAAGGTCTCGGATGGCGCAAGCTGAAAACACAATTGGATATGTGATGCTTGATAAATTTGGGCGAGGAGAGGAGTGGGTCAATGTGTACGAGCAAGTTTCAGACTTATGTAAGGTTATAATCACTTTAGGTCGTGTTTATATCAATGACCTGTGAAAGGCCTCCCTACTGATGAACACACCACAGTGGCAAATCTAAGAATGCAGCGAGCAACAGATCTCCTAATGACATAGGCAGAAAAATAGCATGTTGTGATCAACACAGTCAAAACATCCACAACGCTTTTCTTTCTTTCCCCCAGAAACAAAGCTATTATTGTTCGCAAAGGAACATCCTAGCTAAAGGAAGAAAGCTTCCCCATTTATCTTGGAGTAAAAGGCTCACGTGGAGCAAACATATAGAAAATGTAGAAGGGAAGGCCAGGAGACGACTAGGGGTACTTAGAAAACTGGCAGGTGCAAGTTGAGGAGCGATTGTGAAAACTCTAAAGTTTATAATGGAGCGATAAGACCCCACTTGAAGTTTGGTGCAACAGCCTGATCATCAACTGCTAATTCCCATCTACAATCATTAGACATAGGGCAAAATCAAGCCCTTAGACTCATCACAGGATCCATGAAAACTGCACCGATCCTAGAGATGCAAAAATAACTTCAATGCAGACATTGTCCTATAGAAGAGACACTAAAACTATGATCCAGATGGAGAAGTTTAATAGCTTGCAGTCACATCCAATAAATGTAGCAGCTTTGTCCATCGGGGGAAAAGACTTAGAAGACAGTATTAATCAGATTTGCCCATGAGAAAAGCGTAACTGAAACTTACCCCTGTACCTTAGGAGCAAGTCAGTGATACAAAACAGATAATGACTTCAGTCAGTGGACTCACAGCTGGAGATGAGTCCAGTGACCTTGAAAAACAAACAGCTGCTCTTAGCATGATTCAAGAAAACTATCCCGAACAGTCGTGGATACATGCTTACACATATGGATCAGTAACCAGTGCGGTAAAAAATAGGGGTGCTGGCGTCCTTATCACATACCTAGACAACCACCACCATAAAAGTATATCATCAATTCTCTTTAGGCCTAGTGGCACATGAGGCTTCAGAGAGGACTTTCCATGCTCTCTTGTCCTGTGCAATCTTCAGTGCAGTTTTCCATGTCAGAGATACCGCATTCAGGTCTCTCTCTCTCTCTCTCTCTCTCTCTCTCTCTCTCTCTCTCTCTCTCTCTCTCTCTCTCTCTCTCTCTCTCTCTCTCTCTCTCTGGTATTCACGTGAGAGCTGTTTTGACAGACATATCAGGATTCATTCTCCTTACATTCCAAAAGCCAATTTTTAATTTGGTTTTGACGTCCAATAGACATGTTTACCCATCATGGGCTTCCTTTCGGCTTTCACCCATGTTGTTCATGCTGACAGACGGACTCTGTCCCAAGACCCCCGGACGTTTAGAGCATTTATTTCCTCTTGAAGTTTCATTAACTTAGTAGTTGTTTTTTTTTTTTTTTTACAGGGCAGAGCTGTCAACACTGCGCCCAACCCTCGAGCCTAGAGGACCAGGAGGACATCTTTTGTCTGGCCCCTCGCCAAAGACCTGTCCGACTTGGGTGACCCTGCCAGTAACATACATTTCCGCCGTCATAGATCACTGAGGCTCCCAAGCTCCCCCGCCACTACAAGGTAATGGCCTCTGGGGGATACAAAATATTTACCTACTGGTAAATTATGTTCCAACTATACAGCAGAGATCGTGGCACTAAAGTAACTTCAAGCCCTCAAGAGTGGTTAACTCCCTCACCTGAGATCTGAACTTGGCAAAGTGGCTGCCCAAAAGTGTATTGTACCCCAGTGGGTGCCATTCCACAGTGGTATACTAGAAAACGAAACCGCAGATAAACTTGCTAAGAAAGGGGCAGAATGTGAACAGGAAGAGAATGCGGTAACGTATAATGAGAAAAAAAATGGCCGTCCAGTCTATCAGAAGTGAACAGAGTCTGGCCAGAGATGACTACCGCTTACTTGACCGGCATGGGCAGGTCATTTTCCTACGCCTCAAGACAGGAAATAACAAATTTAACAAGCATATGCACAAGCTACGTCTAAGTAGTTCACCACTGTGCCCATGTGGATTGTGTGTGCAGACTACAGAACATGTCCTGCAAGAGTGTCACTTGTACAGCACATTAAGAAAGGAATACTGGCCCACTGGGTCAACATTGCACTTAAAGCTGTATGGAACTAAAAAGGAACTCTTAAAAACAGCCAATTTTATCACAGAACTGTCAGTCATCATCATCATCATTATAAACAAGTTTTGCTGTTAAGCTCCGTGGGGAAGAATAATTTGCGATCCAGTGCACGTTGGCTGCCACTGGCTATTGTCATGCCGTGAAGGCGTAGAATGTCTTTAATGTTGCCGATCCATGTTTTCCCGGGCCGTCCTCTTGCTCTTGTAGCTGATCTTCTGAGATATAGTGCTTGTAATGGTATTTTATTTTGTCATTGTAAATCAAAAAAACGAACACAAGAGGAAGAAGAAAACTTTAGGTCATGGGTGCAAGGACTGGCCAGCTGGTACTGCAGAATCAGAAGTTCAACAAAGGATTCATGACAACCGTGATGTGATTATCTATGCAGATGGCTCTGTGTTGAAAGACAGACGAAGTGCGAGGGGGTTCATAGCAAAAGCGAATGGACGTCGCTTAGTGCAGCAATGCCTGACATATGATATGACAACGTCTAGTTTGAGAATGGAGGTGGAGGCAGTCACTGCTGCTTTCCGCTGGCTTGAGAATCAGCTGTACACACATGATGTGATTGTAACTGACTCACAGAGCATGTTGAGAAGGGTGGGGACAGACATGCTCCGTGCAGATTAGCAAGCATCACTTCAGAGGTCCTGGGTAGTTAGCGTCCTTTGGATATTTTCTCCAGATAGACTGGCCGGCTCTGCACCACTTAGGGTGAATTGAAGTATGACAATCTAGATATTGTTATGTATTCTCAACCTTACTGTATGGCACAGAGACATGGACAATGAACAAACAACTGGAAAATCGTATCAATTCTTTGGAGATGTGGATATACAGAAGATTAAGTCGTATTTCATGGAAATAAAAGCTATCAAAAACAGAGGTACTGGGGAAATTGGGAATGAAAAGAGAATTGCTAGGTGAAATAAAAAAATAGACAAGTGAAACATTAAAAGACATTAAAAGACATAACAGTATTGTAAAGATCATCCTAGAGGGAAAGGTTCAAGGTAGGCAAGC